AAACCCGCACATCGGAAGCTGACATGCATGCATGTTTACTTACTTATATTTAGAATTGAAATTTGGGGGTTTTGGTTTGAATTTGAATTTTATGAGACGCTCTTCTTGATTTTCCAATTTTGATTATGGATTGTTCATCTTTCATTTCTTTATTTGTTTTTGGCAGATATGGAAAGTGAGGGAGTAACCACCGTGTGGTCGCTCGAGGAGGAACTGGTATTTTTTGGTAGTTCAATTTCTTGATGAAAAGAAATCGAACTGTTGACAAGTAAGAATTGAATTCTGATTATAGAGAAATTGGGAATATTAATAAGTAGTTAATCGTATATCGACGATTCTTTACAAGTTTAATTAGCTTAACCATTAGTACACTGAAGAAACTTGGGTTTTTGAAAATTCAAGATTTGTTTATATAATTGTATAATATTATGTCGAATACGGATTTTTCAATATGTAATATCAGCATTTTCTTTCAGTCTAAGATAAATTGGCATTTTCCTCTGTGTTGGCTTGCAGCTTGAAGTGGCAGCATCACCTCAGCAAATCTGAACCTTAAGCCTGACAAATTAACCCTGTTTGTGGACATATGCGTGTAACTGATCAGCTTTTGGGTAGAGTTAATGCTACTGCTCAATCAAGCGTTGAGGATCGAGTTTCTCCAGCAACATCCACAGTTTCAATGGTATCCTGCTTTCAAATTTTACTCAGATTAATTTCTTTGGCACAATGGTTAAAAAGCATTTTGCATATTGCTTATTTATTCATGTGCACTGCATAATATTTCATATGACATTAGTTCTTGCGTGCACTAAAATGAGTTATTAGATTGCAATACTCTATGTTCACTTCGTGATCAGTTTTTTTTCAATTTCTTCAGAAGGGAGATAGCCGAGATTTGTTAGATGGGAATCGTAAAGTTGCAGATGAGCACTCTGAGAAATCCATAATCTGGAAACTGACAGAAGTGAATGAACGATCGCAGTGTCATTCCCTGAGAGTTCCAGATAGTTTAACGTCGACGAGGGTAATAATTAACTCAGCCATCGACCATCTAAAATACCTAGATAGATATTTGCCTACAAATGAATTTAATTTGACCAGTTTGAACTTCTATCCATTCCTCTAACCTGCTTCATGCTTTATAAGCATGGTCATGTGGATAGAGAAAAATCCGAATATTTTACATGAAATTAGAATAACAGTGATTCAAGTTTTTGAATTGTTTGTTAGTTGTGTCTTTGACCTCTAGAATTTTGACAGTTGGAGAATATATTTTATTCCAGTCCATTTTCAACATCAAGTATCCTTACAAACTTCACCGTTATCGAGTTTCTATCAATTTTTGTGGCCACCAATATAGCCTAAGATATATATAAAGAACTCGCAAGATAATGGAGAGATTGCTTGCAGTTAATTTCTGGTTTCTATTTGTTAGTCCTACTCTGTGAGGCCCTCTAAATTCTGTTCTATCAATTTATCAGGTTTCAAGGTTGATGTATACCAATTCAGGAAAAGCAATATTGGCTTTATATGCCAATGCTGTCCACAATCTCTGGAAATGGCCAAAAAGTGACTGTAACCCAACGAGGGAGGTATTGGTCTATTACACTTGAAAACTACCCAAATTTTTTTAATTTTTATTAACACCAGTAGCATCTTCTTATGCAATTCAACTTCTTGCAGGCAAGAGCAAATACTATGCCTCAATTATGGAAACCTAGTAGTGGGATACCGATGACCAATCATACTAATCGCATGAATCCTGAAGATAGGGTGCCATGCTTTGCATTGTCCAAGAATGATTCATATGTTATATCGGCGTCAGGAGGGAAAATTTCTCTATATAATATATCTACCTTCAAAGTAAGTGGGTTTTGTTCTGCTTATCTCTTGCATTTATCCGTTAAACATTGAATCATGAAGTGTTTTTACTTCTATTATGTGTTGAACATATTGGAAGTGTTTGATTTGGGAATATATCGACCAAACAATTAATTCTCTTTGGTGGACATGAGTTAGATCAATTTACTCTCTTTGGTAGACACGAGTTACACTCTTAACATGCTTGTTATAACATTTTTGTTCTATCAACAGACAATGGCAACATTCAAGTCCCCTCCACCTGCAGCAACATTTCTGGCATTCCATCCCCAAGACAGTAACATCATAGCAATTGGGCTGGATGATTCATCTATCCAAATATATAATGTCAAGTTTGATGAGGTACTAAATAGTGGTGAACTTCTGGCTTAAATTTGTGAGTTAAACATGTTAATGAGTCAAGCCATGTTATCATTGCATTTCCTTTGTAACAGGTCAAAACTGAGCTTAAAGCTCATCAGAAAAGGATATCTGGCCTTGCCTTCTCTAATATTCTTAACGTGCTTGTATCTTCAGGAGCTGATTCTCTGGTAAGGAGCTTTTTTTTGCAGATGCATCTACAATTGGTAAAACTGAAGTTCCTATTAGTGCCTATAGCTATTCCTTTCTCTAAACCTTCTCACAGTAACCATACTGGGAGTACCTGTTTGGGAACAACAAAGTGGACCTAACATGATCTAAGTCTAAATTTACGAGAAATTACTCGTAGGTTTTAGTAAGTAGGCATTTCTTTAACCTCTTTCCTAGTATATTTGAAAATTTATATGTATTGGCCATTTACTTCTACATATAGCCGTGTTTTCCTTTCTTTGAGTTTACCAAGTTGGCTAAGCATTGCATTGTTAAGAATTTTCAGCCCGACCCTTTTTGTTTAACCAGTTGTGTGTTTGGAGCATTGATACGTGGGAGAAGCAAACAAGTGAGTACTTGCAAAGCCCACCTGGTTGCTCGGCTGCTTCTCTTGCAGATACCCGTGTACAATTTCACCGCGATCAAACGCATTTACTAGCATTCCAAGAGAGACAGATAGCAGTATATGAAGTACCTAATTTGACATGCCTTGTGCAGGTGTGGTGTAGCATGTGAACTTACACGTGAATATATTTCTTACAAATTATTGCTGCGAATTAGTATCTCTCTGTTCCAAAGTTTTTTGACTTCGAATATTGTTCCTTTCATGGACGCTGATGCAATTACTTTCTTCTTTTTCTAATCTAATAAACAGTCTGTACCCCGACGTGCAAGTGGCCGAATCACGTGTGCTACATATTCTTGCGATGGCGAATCCATATACATCAGCTTTGAAAATGGAAGTATAGGTGTTTATACTGCTTCATCATTGTGTTTGAGATGTCGAATCAATTACTATGCATATGCACCTTCCTATCCAACGTGCGTACTACTGAAATTTCTTGAATTTGAATTCGATCACCAGAAAACTAACTGCAATTATCAAAGTATAATTTCCTCCACGTACTCATTATCTGATGATATTTATTTTTGCAGCGTATCGGCCTATCCCTTGGTTATTGCTGCTCCCCCTTACAAGCCTAACCAATTTGCATTAGGACTTACTGATGGTGGTGTGGGTGTAATTGAGCCACTAGAGTCGGAAGGCGAGT